TCGTCAAATCTCTTCAAAACCCGTCTATAAAGGGATTACGACTTCCGTCGCTGTCGACATTGAAGTTGGCTGGAAGTACTGCCGCATAAGGTGTAAAAGCGACAAAATGGTGCAAATTTGAGAACTAGAGGTTAGAAATAATGCGAATGATCTTTTTTCGCTCGTTCGTTCGTTCGTCTGTTTGTTTGTTTGTTTGTTTGTTTGTTTGTTTGTTTTGGAGGGGTGGTTGAAAGATGATCGCATGAAACTTTTGGGGAGGAGCTGACCACTTTAAAACTGAATGACCTTGACACTCTTTGCGACTGATACTGGACGTTGAATTTAAAAACATGCATGCAAAGACTTTGGGGAACTCTCTTTAAATGTTTCTTTTATTCAAAACGAAAAGCAGAAAAAGGCGAATTTGGGGCAATTACGTTTTGTGCCTTTTGCCCTCTTTTGGGGTCTAGTTTTACACTAACAACACTTTGATTTGATTTTTTGCGACTTGTTGCAGCGACAAAATTCTGTTCCGGAGACACAGATTTTCTCAAAAATTCTCTAGTACACACAAAGCGATTTGTTGCTGCAACGTGGTATATTCGATCAACTTAGGCTCGGTAGAAGTGTAAAAGTTCGATGATCACGAAATCATTTTTGATGCTGATAACCGTATTAGATTCACCGGGAGACAGATTCAGTAGATCTAAAATTAAACTTCTCTTTGATCGTAAGCCTGGTCAGTCGAATTGGCTTGTTGAATTTTTGTTGATCTAAAAGTATATTTTGGTAAAACGTCTGTTTTTTTAAGTATATCTTTGAGGCACTATAGTGCGCTACCTTCGATTTAATTAGAACTAGAACTTCAATCCAATAATCGCGTCTCTCTTTATAACATTTTGTATTTATAGAAAGTAAAAAATAGACCATGGGTCAGTGCCATTTTAGCTCGAAGGTATACGTAATGACACCTTTTAAATTTAGGCTTGGATCATACGTTTCATTTTACGTTTGAAAACGTTGTCTGTTTCGTTCGTCATAAAAAAAGGAAGGAAATGAAGATTAAAAGAGAACTAAAAGTCGTGGTGCTAGTTCTTAGATACGCCCATCCTTTGTGAGATTTCTGGTTCGTGTATGTCTGGAACATCGCAACGGCGACGGCTAAATGTCCATTACTGAAGGACATTGTAGGGGTACTCCGCACCGGATTATTAGTGACGGGGAGCTGCGATTATTACTGTTTTCATTGGGACACCCAGCGGGAGCCCCTGCGGTGGAGAGAGTTTAGCTCGCACGTAACAAAAAAACTTTCAGTTAATCCGATCGCAAAATCTCGGAAGCGTTTGTGATACTGCGCATGCTGTCCAAACTCTTCTGTGTGATGAGCGGGAAGTTTCACTATTGTGTCATTGGGATAAATGCTCAAAATCTCTAGTGTGATCTGCAAATGTTAATGAAAACTGAAAACGGTTCAGGCTACCTGAGATATTTCACCTTTATGACGAAGAAACAAGAATAGGGGATGAATAGAAATAAAAAAAAACATATGGAAACTGAACGAAGATGGCTCCCCACAAATCTCGTCCTAGGGTTTTTCCTCGACAAATCGGAACCGAATAGCCCTGGTAAGGAAGTCGAGAAGTTTTTTATAGGAGTAGGGCATATATTTTTAGAAACAGTAAGATAATATGGCGTCATGTTCTAAAATTTTGAAGGATATTTTCATCGATGGCAAATGAAAACAAGCAATGCCATATTAGCCAACAAAAATTTTGGCTGAGATGGATGATAACAATTTGAGCACATTACTAACCAAACTACAGAAACCCCGTTGTCATAGCTTGTTCTTTCAAAAAATCTCTACCTCTCTTGTCGAGAGTCTTAACGAAGCGAATAATTTCAGCGACTACTACAAAAACACGGTCACTCGTATTCTAACATTTCTGCGTTTATCGAGGACTTACAACCGGCAAAAAGCTGTAAAGTCTAGGATAAATCTCGTACTTTAGAGTCGTTTCAGGAACGTGTTGGCTTTCTTAAACTTATCTCAAAGATCCAGTAAAACTGGATTTTAGAATTTTTCAAAGGACCTCGATAATCTCCGTTGACGTCAAATAGCAAAATATTTCGTGTGTAACGGGATGCGCGTGTTTATGGGTACACCATTGTATAAATGGCCCGACTGGTCAGTTTCAGACCACACTTCCTGCCGAAAGTTTTTTACAGACGGGAAAAGTTTATGTAGAGATAACAAACCATGGAGAATCTTCTACTGTTGATCAATTTGAGGGAAATGAGGGTTAAAAGAGAATAAAGTCGTGGTGCTAGTTCTTAGATACGCCCATCCTTTGTGAGATTTCTGGTTCGTGTATGTCTAGAACATCGCAACGGCGACGGCAAAATGTCCATTACTGAAGGACATAGTAGGGGTACTCCCGCCGGAGTATTAGTGACGGGGAGCTGCGATTATTACTATTTTCATTGAGATACCCAGCGGGAGCCTCTGCGGAGGAGAGAGTTTAGCTCGCACGTAACAAAAAACTTTTAGTTAATCCGATCTCAAATCTCGGAAGCGTTTGTGATACTGCGCATGCTGTCTTAACTCTTCTGTGTGATGAGCGGGAAGTTTCACTGTTGTGTCATTGGGATTAATGTTCAAAATCTCTAGTGTGATCTGCAAATGTCAATGAAAACTGAAAACGGTTCAGGCTACCTGAGATATTTCAGGAATGACCGGGATGGTCTATTCGCGTGGTCATTGAATGTGAGTTGATAAACGGTTAAGTATGCATGGTAGTGTTGTGGTGAATAAGAGTTATGGTAATAAAATGTTATTGTTATTGTTATTGTCATTGCACACTTCATTTAAAGAGGGTAACAAGGGATAGTTTCAAACACTAGTGACAAGTGACCTACCATCTAAAAATTAAAAAAAATATATACGACATTCATGTAATAAAGACCGTTATAATTATCATGATCGCCGTCGTCGTCGTCGTCCCCCACTTCCTCTTCCTCCTCCTAATTATCATCTTCATCGTCGTAGTCATCATCATCATCATCATCATCATCACCATCATCGTCATCATTATTATTATTATTAATATTATTATGAAAAGACGCTTATAACTCTTACAAAAAGAAATTTGGATCTCCGTGGCATTTTATTTATTTTAGCTGCAATTCCATGGCCAAAATAATGTACATCGCATAAAACAAATACAAATGCCGCTACAAAGAATGTTAATTTAGGATTGATTTTGCTTGCCATGAAGCGTGCAGTATTCGATATGCAGTCATTAGATTTAAACCCCGGTATGTGCGACCAATAAAACAAGTAACGAAATCCGATTAACATTTACGCAATTCAGCACGCTTTTGCAAACATAGTACGTGCCGGCTTGTTTTCATAACGAAAAATAACGCACGCAATCACGCGACGAAATTCAAAATGTGACTAGTCTAAAAATCAACAACTGGGACGTTTTTGTTCATTAGAAATCACTGAAGATGAGAATGACCACGCTAGCTGGTGTTTCAAAAATATTATTGAAGACCATAGCTTAGATTCAGCTTTCACAACACTGAGAAAAGCCAATTAAAGAGGGAATTTAAATCAATTCATGCAGAGCACTTAAAGTAGCCATGTCGAGATTCCATCACGTTTTTTTCAAATAATACCTTAATGACGAAGAAACAAGAATAGGGGATGAATAGAAATAAAAAAAAAAAACATATGGAAACTGAACGAAGATGGCTCCCCACAAATCTCGTCCCAGGGTTTTTCCTCGGCAAATAGGAACCGAATAGCCCTGGTAAGGAAATCGAGAAGTTTTTAAAGGAGTAGGGCATATATTTTTAGAAACAGTAAGATAATATGGCGTCATATTCTAAAATTTAAAGGATATTTTCATCGAGGGTAAATGAAAACAAACAATGCCATGTTAGCCAACAAAAATTTTGGCTGAGATGGATGATAACAATTTGAGCACATTACTAACCAATTCAAACTACGGAAACCACGTAGTTATAGCTGGCTCTTTGAAACAATTTCTACCTCTCTTATCGAGAGTCTTAACAAAGCGAATAATTTCAGCGACTATATTCCACAAAAACACGGTCACTCGTATTCTAACATTTCTGCGTTTATCGATGACTAACAACCGGCAAAAAGCTGTAAAGTCCAGGATAAATCTCGTTCTTTAGAGTGGTTTCAGGAACGTGTTGGCGTTCTTAAACGTATCTCAAAGAGTCAGTAAAACTGGATTTTAGTATTTTATTAAGGGTCTCGATAATCTCCGTTGACGTCAAATTGCAAAATATATCGTGTGTAACGGTTTGCGCGTGTTTATGGGTACGCCTTTTTATAAATGGCCTGACTGGTCAGTTTAAGACCACACTTCCCGTGGAAAGTTGTTTACGGACAGGCAAAGTTTATGTAGAGATAACAAACCACCGAGAATCTTCTACTGTTGATCAATTTGAAGATAATTATACCACTCATTCCTTTCCGTGTTTTTTTTTTTCTGTTTTTGTTTTTCAGTGGTACGAATTCCTGTACTAAAAATTTTGTTTGTCTGATTCAAACCGAAATTAAGTCAATGACATATATTTTAGCTGCACCGACCGCTATCATAATTAGTCCTTGATTATGTTCGTGCCTTGTATCTCACATGGGTCATAAACCCTTCAAAACCCTATTGAAAAATTTTATCTTCATGGCGTTCTTTCTGAGTGTGAGGGGTATGCGATTCGTGTGATCCGCAAAGAGAAAGGGAGGTGTCATCTTGGTATCTTGTGCGTGCCTAAACGAAATTGTTGGAAAGGAAATGAAAACTATGCGCCCGGGAGATATGTGAAAGAACGCTCTGCTCCGACCACACTGATGTGTAAGTTAATGACAAGCAATGACGCATCTGAAGGTCACGTCTAGCAAGGGTCATAGACGGGAATAAAACTCTTGAAAACAACTATTGTGTAAACTTCTTAACATACGATCACCAAAGGCGGAGGAAGCTCGAATGGGTTCCGATTTACCATTCAAACTGAATATGTTGAAAAGATGGAAATTCTTCTTGAAAGGCAAAGACAAGTTTGCGAGTTCGCGAAAACAAGGAAGACGACAAAGCATGGATGGCAAAGAAGAGTGTATCAGAAATGACACTGTTATGTTTCACGCTCTTATCTCAAGAAGAACTGGACGAAGAAGCAGTTTTGATAGCTCGGAAATCAGTTCAGCGACAAGTAATCTCAACTCCTGTCTCCGCTTTCAAGAAAGACTTGTTCGACGGCAACTTTCTTTGACATCGGGGGCAGTAGAGAAGGAGCTGTTTTATACAAGGCGGATTGATTTTACCAGTCGTGAGTTGACACTTGGGACACACTTTGATCTCTTCATAGAGGAAAATACACAAGAAAATTCCGATCGCTTTCCATGTAAGCTGGTCACGAACAACGCAATGATCACTGATTCGGACACTAGAATCGTTGATGGACTTCTAACGACAACTTTGTGTTCGACAGAATTGTAAAAACTAGTGAGTTGGCACACAGAGACAAAATATTTACAATGAACGTCTGTAACTATTTATCATAGGTCTTATTAGTTATTACATGACCTCAATTGGTACTATCAAAGATAGGTCTCTGTGCGTCAAACTGATTTCAGAATCATTCAGTTAAGCCATTCAGACTCGCCTTTCCGAAAGATAATCGGCCAGATAATCGTCGTGATTGACTGCGCGGCACTTCCTCGAACCGTACTGTAAGAACACTGAAAATTTCAGGATCTCAGACTGGCCCCGTCTATCACGCCTTAGCTTTACTGGCCTCACTTCAAACTTCTTTCACGTACTTGGTTCAGAGCCTTATTTGTCTATGTAGTGTACCCTATTATACTATCAATACTAAGAGTATATTCAGGGTGCATGCTTTTGATCAAATTGAGACCCTTGAATAGATTCGAGAACGAAGAAGTCTATGACTAGAAGTAATTTTTTCGCGAAGAGTCTAAGAAAATAGACACTCTGGAATACTGTTTTTTAATATATTTTTTCCCAATAAAAGTTTAGCAAGTTTATTGTTATTGAAGGAAGTTGAGCTCTCTCCTGATCACGAAATAACAAAATGTCTTAACATTCGACAACCTTGTTCCTCTACTACGACATTCTCGCTGAACCCTTAGCACAATGAATGACGACGGCTGTCATGTTTTCCCGCCGAAATGACACTGTGGTTCACCCGCACGTACTACTTTAATAGTGCAATAAAAATCCCGTCTTCGTAGTCGTTCTTGTCTTAGAGTCTAAAGATCTCTTATAAAAGTTGTCAAATAAAAGTATCTATAAAAAAGTGGCGGTGGTAACCACCTGCCTAGCTAGAGTATTCATACAAGGAACAAATTGTAATACATGTATAACATTACTAGTGTTATTAAAATGCCTTTAAAGTTGTACTCAAGGCGTTTGCTTTCTAATTTAATCGGAACTGCACGAGAGTTGACCACAGCACACCAGACGAAGGAATCGATCAGTTGATGTGCGCGCGCCAGTTGATGAAATCAAAGCCCGCGGGTCAACGTCACTGGACGAGAGTTGAGGAGGACACCAGTGTGAGTTTATGAGAGCGCGCGGTTGAAAAGACTCTGCGGTCGTCCACTGCAGAGCTTTAAATGATCGCACGAGAGTTGACGAGCAGGGCACACGAGGCATGATGAGAACGCGCGACAGTTAATACTTAAGAGTGTAGGCGAGACGACGTATACAGTGACACGCATAATCAAAGATCTAATTCAATTTTCAAGGTAAANGACTCGCCCCCGGGAGGTAATCCCGGAAAGTTTAACGATAAGGTCCAATAGAGATGAGCCACATTTTTCTTCTTGTCCTAGTCTCGAAGCCTATGTTTTACCAGCCACAACACGGACAATCTAAGAGAGCAAGTCTAGAACCACGTACATACACACTCTTCGTGAGAACACTGGCCAAACCAACTAACCAACTACACTAGAACCCCACTAACTCGAACTCTGAAGGGAAACGAATCGAAAAACAGTTCGAGTTAGCGAGGGTTCGAATTATCGTGGTCGATTGCAAAATTTAATTTGCCATCTTGAAATTGATAGTTACTGATTTTTCACAACTTCAGTATATACACTGTTGTTTAGTGCAAATCTAAACCAGATTAACCAGTTTTAGGGATAAAACGTGATCTGTTCGTTGTACCAATTAAAATCAAATTGCTGTAGCGTTGACTAGTGTTAGGGCCTGTTTACATGGAGTGGGGGACCCCGGTCTAGTGGGGCTGGTTTCTTTTGTTTTCACGCTCTGGGGGACACAAAACAAAAGAAACCTACCCCACTAGACCGGGGTCCCCCACTCCATGTAAACAGGCCCTTAGTTTTAGTGTTTTTACCTCTATACAACAAGAGGAATCTATTAAATGGCATCCGAGTAGAAATACAAGAACCAAAATTCGAGTTGTCGGGGTAAATTTTAGTGAATTTTTTATCAAGTGAAAGGAAATTTAGTTCGAGTTAGCGGGGAATTCGAATTATCTGAGTTCGCGTTAACTGAATGAAAATGACTGAAAAGTTGGGAGAAATCCAAGAGAAATTGGACTTAGTTCGAGTTAGCTCGGGCAATTCGAGTTATCCGAGTTCGAGTTAAAGGGGTTCTACTGTAGTCTCATAAAGCCGCCGTTCTTTGTCTCGTGACGCATCACTCCTTTGCGGGGAGGGGGGAGGGGTGAAGAAGACTATCCTTGCCCTTGTGTCAGACCAAAATACCTGATTTTCCCTATCGTTAAGAGCAGACAGTTGCAGCATACACACTCTGATACATGCTTTCAATTCCAAGGTACTCCCAAAATGCATTCACAATTCCTGACCAAACTGTTTAATATTTGTTTTTTGTCATTTATTATTTACTTAATTTTATTTTAGCCAACAATGGTTAAAATTTATCTCCAATATCAAATCAAAAAATTAAGCAAACCACACCCTTTGTAGCATGAGTAGCAGTCGTTTCCTGGGGTTGGGTGCTGGCTTTAAGGGGGGCAAAAAAGAGCTAAAAGAGTGATTCTGATTACGAATTGAAGGCTGTCACAACGTCACGTGACACCATCATCAACGATATCAAACAACAATAATTTGAAACCAGCACACTGCCATCTTTGTCCATAAATTGTAACGTTTTTTACGTGTACCTCAAGAGAGTCAACGGTCTAATTTACGGCCCTTGTACAGGCCATCACAGAAGCTTTATTTTAGCTTCGTTCAAAGTCATAGGAACACTTTTCAATCATTGACACGATTTAAAAGATCTAAAGAAACTCTTTCTAACATACTTGAAGACTGGGTGAAAAAGATGATTATTCAGCGTGAGGAAAATGTCCCGTCTATAACAAAACTCTCGGTTAAAAAGGATTGATAAGGTAACGACGAGCAGAGAGCGAGCATATTAATTAACGTTTATTTCTTTTCGACTATTTTTCCGGCTTCAAATTTGTGTCTATCCATGCTACACAGGCTGGGCAACATCCACTTTACTATTGTGGACACTTGGAGCTTCAACCACAGGACGGTGACGAATGACATCTTACATTAGTTAAGAACAACAAGACAACCAAACCAAGTGCCCGAGGAGAGCAGAGATGACTCATAATATACGAAAAGTAATTAATAAACAATTATTGTGAGAGGCTGAGAATGATATGAAAAACTAAACAGATCGAGAATGAAAGGCCGAGGTGTATAACATATTTTGATAATCAGTCAACTATTTCTAGTGGAGTATTAGAAAACTTCTAACGGAATTACTCACATGACTCATGTCTCGTGTGACTGCACGTGGGGCGTGTACTGCTCTTCTGTAATTCAAGAGGCATAATATGATGAAAAAGGATACGATCTTTAGAGTTTGCTTTCACGTCAAAGTAGTTTAAGTTCAGATTTTCCGCCAGTCTCTTGGCCAAAACTCGTAGCTTCTGTACGATGAAGAACAAAAATAACGAATTGTAAAAGTAACTACCGGGTGAAGATTTGCCTACATCGGTTTCAAGAGTCTTTGCGACACCGAGACTGAAATCTTTTATGAAGATCTTAGTACATACATTTTTAAAGTAAACATAAACAGAAAAAGACATCTACAAAGCAGTATTTTCGTGTAAACAACACTATAAGAGTACCCTTAAGGTTCTTTCGGCATATTAGGATTTTGCGTCTATTTATATAATTTCAAGTATATATAAAGCTTTTCGTTATTAGAATCACTAACGCAAACATGCACTACCTAGTTGCAAATTTTAGTCAATGAATAGAAAAATTGTAATCGTATTTTATTTTTCATGAATTGTGGTTGCAGTCAATTACTTGATATGAGGACTTTGTAAGAACTTTGAAGCAAGTCTGAGGTATAAAAAAACATACCTTATCATTTTTGGAATAAGAGGTGATCTTTTGTTCCGTTACGTGAAATCCATTGAAGACGACATAATAATACATCTCGCCCGCTCCTTCAAAAGGAAAGTAGATAAATAATTGAATCAGGCCTCTATCAGCAGACGATGGTTTAATAAACAGGAACGCATTCAAAAAAGTCCTCCTAACTAATTAAACGATATCCTGATTTAACTGTTTCTAAAAAAGGAAACAACTTGCCAGACAACGCATAGCACTTGCATCAGCTCTAAATGAAGCCTGCTTTGTCAATCCAGAAGTCTCATGCTGGAAAGTCATTTTAATTCAGCTGTGCACTTTCTGGTTCGAGAACGACGGGAGGATTTCTAGCAATATGACACGTATTTTTATTGACAGTCAGGAGTAACAACTTTGGAAGGGCACGATAAAGCAAATCCTGTTGTATTTTTGATTGGCTACAAAAACAGGCAAGATGGTCCTGTCTTGCTCACTCGAGATTTCCCGCAAGGAAAAGAATGCTTTTGACAACATAATAAATCTTTTATTAACCAAGTTTGTAAAGTCAAGATGACTGGATATTGGACGACTTTGTTTTCTATTTGACAGTTTTTATTGCAGCGTTTTTAAGGGAAAATGTGGCTTGGCCAAACCCCTGAGTGATCTTGACCTCACGTCAAAACCAGGCACGTAATGGGCACTAAAGTGACCAATCGCATCCTGCTTTCTTTTGTTAACATGATTAATAAAGGAAATAATAACTTTATTACAACGAAAATCCTTAAAATTAGGAGCACATTGGGAAACAGCAGGACGCGCGGGGCGATAAGACAAAGATAACTTACCATGTTTTTGAGCCTTAAGCCTAATGTAAACATTGTGGAACTTGCCAGTCTCCACAGAATGTTCATTGATTACACACTTGTACTCCATTTGCTCTCCGTCTAGTACGCATGTGCGATGGCCACGGTTTTCCCAAGCCATAATGGCCGACACAGCACCAACCAAGGTAGGGAACAACATATATTGCTAGGGAGTGAAGATACAGGTCAGCATTACACGTAGTCAGTAGTACGTGAGGTTATTCAGATTAACTTCAGCACGGATAGGCTACTCCTTGTTCGGTGGAAGTGGTAGACAAGGATTTCCAAGTTTTCCAACAAATGTTATTGTGCAGTGAACCTGCACAATGAAGGGGTAATTTTTGTTCGGTCAGTAACTTTTATTGTCATGGTTAGACTAAACGGGCAAAGTCGAATCCAGACGTAAGGAATCCATTGCCCTAATCAAACTAAGGCATCACAATAAAAAAGATAGAAGAAAGTTTCTAGTCCTACTCTGTTTCACGCTACGATCTAGTTCCAAGACCCTCTTAGTTTTCATACGGGTCTTTGAAAACTGAGAGACGTTGGAGAACTAACTTCCATTGTTCAGACAAATACTCACGCTAGCCTGGTCTGCAAGTCCCCACGTGATCAGCGTCGCTATGGAAACCACAGTCATGAATAACCCGATGTAAAGTCGTCGACGACTGAAAGTAAGCTCAAACTCTGCAATCAGAAAGCTTATCATGGTTAGGCTGTAACTAACCCCACGAAACCCAATATCAAAATTCGAATTCACATTTGCTGTCCCTCCACATTTCCTATAGAGGTAGTAGGGAGAGGTTGTTTACGGTATCAACCATGCATATTCATCTTGTGCAATCATGTCCCTAATTCTCGTCACCCATTTGTTTTGTAAAGCATTGACATCACAGGGAGAATTTTGCTACTGATCACCTGATCTTTCCTCTCGCTGTAGGCCAAGTTGTTCCAAGGCCGCTTAGCGCTAACCCGTGTCAAATTCTCTTCCGGGTTTCCTTTTCGTTTGTTCCAGAGCATTTTCTCGGATAGTTTTCCCTATTCTTTTTAGAACATTCCATCGCAAATTGTATAGACAAAAAGAATTTAACAGAATTTGCTTTTTTTAAAAGCCTTTTTATCTCAAATTTCCCACTTATAACCTTCGGTTATCTTAAGCCAGCTTTGAACATCCCGGTCCTTGATCTTTTATTTGGTTTGTTCCTTTGTTTGTTTCTTTGTTCTTTCGTTTTGTCTTTTGTACTGTAAGCCCAGAAAGACTAATGACTTTCGTTGCTGTTAGGGGACTCACGCTCTACAGAGAAAAATTACTTCTGGAGTTGTCGCGCAAAATCGCGAATATAATTACGCGTCAGGTTAACGCTCTGAAATGATATTTGATAAAATACTCACTGTTTTTTCCAACCTTTTTGAACGGATGGAAAGGATTGGAATTTAGTCTCCTATTAAAAATAACTTCTGGCTTTTCAAGGATTTCAAGAGTTTTGAGGGCTTTCTTGAAACCCATTTTGCCTCGTATGCTCTTTTTTTTATGGACGTTAAAGCTTTATGATGTCAGAACGTTTGTGACGTCAGTGTTATACAATTGCTCGCGCTCGCTATGAAGTGTTAACGGACAAAATGCGCGAGCACCCAGTCGATCCCAATCTTTCCTTTTTGTCATTCAAAGCGACAAAAGGCTTCCGTAAATAAGGCCTGGGGCCCGTTTCTCGAAAGTCCCGGTAACTTTTCGGGCCCGAAATCAAATATTCAAATCGAAATATAAAGAATAAGAGCGCGGGTCCTGGCTAGCAGACTACTCCATTTTATGTCACTAACTGATAGTTTTATCATGCTAGATGCAAAACTATTGAAACTTCGATCTTTAATGTAAACGGAGACAGCTTACCGGGCCCGTTAATTATCGGGACTTTCGAGAAACGGGCCCCTGGTTCCAATAGAAAGTATTTCTGAAGAAACAGCGGTCGACGTACGATCAGTTTGTAGTTTATTCACGCCAGAAACTTTTCGTTGAACAGGTAGAAATGTGTGTTTTTCATTCACCCGAGACAAAGACAAAGTAGAGGTCGTAAAAAACGCGAAAAAAAAAGGAAGGAGGCAAGCCTTGACCATATTGGATGGAAAGGCTTAGTTAGTACATCTGACAGTGAAGGATTTGTTATAAGGCTAACAAAACTTTTTTCTTGCACCAATCACTAATTAAAGGCATTCCCGTGGGTAAATTCCCCACTGGCAACTCGTTCAACGTAGAATTAAACGGTAGTTTCCTTTGTAAAACACTAAAAATTTGCCCACTTACCATTGCTGGAAAAACTTTGAGCGTTTTATCTTTCCTATTTTGGTTGATAACTATTACATATACAAGTTTTGTTCACCTATCCCATAAATAGAGCACTTACATGTTTCCATATAAAGCGGCAACTGTTAAAAGTAAGAAATTTTTCCGGTTCACTTTTCGTCCTAGCTAGCAGGAGACGGAGCAAATCTCTATGGCGCGTATTATATGAGTGGAAATCGCCCAAGTGGCTAAAATTCATTTAGTAAATATGCTGGAGCCAGGCCATGAAGGCTCTTATACACTAGCATGCACTTTTTGAAATTATTCAGGTTGGTTTTACGAACCTGTGTTGTCCATCGCAGTTTCCTGAACATGCGGGCCAACATGAAACCTATAAAAAAATACATTGGTTCTCCATATATCCTACCAAAATTCTTGGCTCCCGGATGTCTGTGTAACAACATCTCAGTCATGTTTTTCGACACATGAGATAAGAAAAAATTAATTTAAAATTTTTAAATAGGGTAAATCGACTCCTGGACCTCGCATTGGAGCTTGCTCTGTGAGTGATCCAGGCCTCTTGGCGAAGCTTATCAATAATAAATAAATAAATAATAAATAAATAAATAACCGCAGCAGGGTTAGCTCAGTCCGGTAAGCGCTTGACTGCAGAGCGGGAGGTCGCGGGTTCGATTCCCGGGGCCCAACCAATACTCAGGGTCTTGAAATAAGTGAGAAATGAAGGTACTGCCTTGACCATGTTGGCCCAGCATATGGCCAGACCTTCGCGTGGCTCGGATGACCACGTAATTAAAATGGCGGCCCTGTCTCCAGTAGGAGACGTAAAAAATAGTGTCCCCAATTAGTACTTTCGTGCTTAAAACATTGGCACACAAATAAAGTACATTTATTTATTTATTTATTTTTTAAACAAATAAACTTCTCACTTCACCCCTACCCACGCAGACCCCTGTCCTCCCAACGTCCCCAAACGTCCCCCCGGCATCCCAAGTTTTGACCGCGTGGAGCTTGGGACCATTGGAAACCAAGATGGCGCCTGATAATGGCGCCCATGACTTCAATGATTCTGCAAGAACGGAGTTTGGTCTTTCAGATCGGTGGTTTATTAACTTCTGGAACATTCAACTGTGATAAAAAGAAAGTACTTTATTTTGAACAAAAAGGCGCAAGGCAAGCTCAAGGCCGTGTCCAAATCCCAGTCAATGACGTCAAAATGATCTTGCACTGGGTGGAGAGGTTTCATTAAAATACAGGTAGGATGTAACGGTTTAAGCTTACAAGGAAATTTTAGAGCTATCGAAACTACATAGTAGTAGTTTAGTTAAGAGTTTCAAATTAGGTCCTGTCAGAATTGCTTGGGTTTAGAGACGTCACGTCAGCTAGGGATGGCTGGGTAGTCAAAAATGGTACTGTGGCGTTTTTTTAAGTCACGTGCCCAATTCCCTAGCTAGTGCTGGCAGAAATGGAAAGCCACAGAGTGGTCTATTTTTTTTCCAATTTTGCATGGTCTTCATCCTGTTACCCCTAACAAATGATAATAAAAAATAATAAACAATACACCCTTCCACATCTGTTTCAACTTTTAATATGGACCTGTTAGTGAGATTTGTCGACACATTAACTAACAAAATACAAATTAGAGCAGAGAAGTCGACACGTCTCTGCTTTAATGTTGAATATTAATCCTATTAATATGGATCTAGGCACAAATCTAACTCGTATGCCCTAAAAGTGTCTGCAGCTGCCCACAGTCAGTGATTGTCCACTTATGGGAATGTCATAAATACAGAGTTTTTGTGGGAGTTGAAATGCAGTTTTGTAAAGGCGGCTGCAAGTAGAACTGCCCACTTATGACAGTGTTCATTAAGAGAACTTCCACTATATTACTATTAATGTATTTTTTTATGCAATTTAAAGGAGTTAACAACTAAGAGCACCTTAAGTCCCTGAGGTCAGCAGTCTTTGGCATACACATTGATCATGTGATTCTTGGGCACGTTCAGTTTTCTTTCTTGCAAGGTTCTGTCAGCCATCCCCTCCCCACCTCCCCCTAGGCTTTGTTAGTTTTTCTCCATTGATGTTTTTAGTGTGACGGGTGCCTGTTCCTTTCCTTTCGTGTGGGGGCTCATGGCTGGGTTGCGCTGTTGTGCCAGTCATGGGGGCATTATTTTCAATCTAGGGGCTGGCTGCCATTAGTGAAAGCCTCCTGGATACTCCAGGCACCCAACCTCCATTTTAGTGATGCAGATGTAAATTCTATTTTAATTTTATGAGCTCTCCCCTTTCCCGATGCCTCACCCTTGTCCCCCTTCATCCTTCCGTATGTGTCTTTTGTTGACATTATTCATTTTGCCCGTGCTTCTCTGTTGACGTTTTATCTCTATGTTTGCCACTCACATTGTTCCCCTTCGATTATCTTGTAATCATTATTTTCATTTAAGAGGTTGTACCTATAAACCTTCACTTTCACGGGCATAGCACCCCGTATAGATGCTATGCATGTATGTAACATACAAAAATGACAGTACGGAAATAATATAACAGAACATGACATAACACCATTCCCATGTAGAAGAATTGCATTGCTTTAAAATATATAGTACAGTAAAAAAAAAAGTACAATAGTGATAACGAAAAGCACATAAATATGCTTGAGAGGACTAAGCTTACTGGGGAAACTACAATGACTAGGATGACTTGAATTGTTTCAACTTTGTTCGAAAGACACAGGGTGACTAGGTTGACAAGGGTGACTAGGATGACTAGGGAGACTTAGGTTGACTAAGGTGACTAAAGTGACTTGGGTGACTAGGATGACTAGGGTGACTAGAGTGACTTCGGTGACTAGGGTGACTAAGGTGACTTCGATGACTTGGGTGACTAGGGTGAGATAGGGTGACAAGGGTGACTAGGGTGACTAGGGTGACTTCGATGACTTGGGTGACTAGGGTGACTAGGGTGACTAGGGTGACTAAGATGACAAGGGTGACTAAGGTGACTGGGGTGACTAGGATGGCTTGGGTGACTATGGTGACTTGGGTTACTAGGGTGACTAGGATAACTTGGGTGACTAGGATGACTAGGGTGACTAGAGTGACTTCGGTGACTAGGGTGATTTGGGTGACTAGGGTGACAAGGATGACTAGGGTGACTTGGGTGACTAGGATAACAAGGGTGACTAGCGTAGGATGACTAGGGTGACAAGGGTGACTGGAGTCACTTGGATGACTTGGATNGGCTTGGGTGACTATGGTGACTTGGGTTACTAGGGTGACTAGGATAACTTGGGTGACTAGGATGACTAGGGTGACTAGAGTGACTTCGGTGACTAGGGTGATTTGGGTGACTAGGGTGACAAGGATGACTAGGGTGACTTGGGTGACTAGGATAACAAGGGTGACTAGCGTAGGATGACTAGGGTGACAAGGGTGACTGGAGTCACTTGGATGACTTGGATGACTAGGGTGATTCAGGTGACTTGGGTGACCTGGGTGACTGGGATGACTAGGCTGACTAGGATGACTAGGGTTACTTGGGAGACCAGGATGACTAGGGTGACTAGGGTGACCTGGGTGACTAAGGAGACAAGGGTGACTAGGGTGACTAGGATGGCAAGGGTGACTAGGGTGACAAAGGTGACTTTGGTGACTTGACTGACCAGACCATTGTCATCCCAATAAGAATTTTACTTTTAATCAAAACTATTAACTATTCAGTCAGACATATCCTGAATAGCATGCATGAAGGAGATGGTTTTTCAGCAAAAACTCTTGGTAAAACCTTATTTCTTTGTCAAAATGACCAGTGCAACCATGGTCCGGCTGGCCAGTTCTGACTTTTGGAAAGCGCTCTGAGTGTGGGGTTAAGCTGGCTCAGAGTTTTTCTCTGATGAGGAAGTGGACATTTGTGGTGGTTATAATCACCCAGCTGTTGTTGTACAGCGATTTATTAGTAATTGGTTAGCTTATTTACTTAAAATTTAACGTTTCTTGAGATAGTCTTCACAAGCCAACATAAAGCCGTTGTAAGATCACAAAATTTAAAAATTATGTAAGTATAGAAAGTTAATATTGCAGGCAAATGTTTTTGTCAAAATCTTCAATGAATTTTGAAAAGGACGAAGACTTCATTTATTTATTCTGGTAGGAAAGGTTTTTGCAGAAAAATGGACGTCCATATAATAGGTAGGGAGAGTAATTCTTCCTTCT